TCATGTAATACAGGTACCACCATCAAATGTATACTAACTTCCTCATGTAATACAGGTACCACCATCAAATGTATACTAACTTCCTCATGTCTTGCAGGTATCAGCATAAAATGTCTACTAATTCGATGACGAGGAACCCACTTTGAGACTAATAATGGCTGGAGACGGCTTAAATGGGTAATGAAGAAAAACTTTAATATAAGTTTAACATGACAGCAATTGTACAACGTTTCGACAAGGTTTTGAAGGTACCTGATGATGACAAAACCTTGTCGAAACGTTGTACATTTGCTGTCATGTTAAACTTATATTAAAGTTTTTCTTCATTACCCATTTAAGCCGTCTCCAGCCATTATTAAAATGAATGGAGATTTACCAATCAGCTCAAGATGTATGAAAAGCTCTTTTAAACTAAGTATATCTGAAAGATGCAAGAGCAGTTTGACAAGTTGAGTTTGTGGGATCATTTTTTGAAAATTATAAAACATCAGATTTTGAATAGAAACTATAACGGCAAGCGTGTTTCTGCCTCAACTTTTTGCTAGTAGATGACAATTTCAACTGTTTTTAATACGCTGTTCTTCTATTTCTAAATTATAGTTTTCATTTTTTTACAGTTTTTCCCGCTTCTGCTGCATTCCCTTGGTTTGATCCAGCTTCTGACATTCGATGTCCCCATGAGCTTTAAAAACGAACACAACAAGATGAGCGCTAAAAACGAACACAACAAGACAAATGCCACCATTCAGAACAAGTAAGTGTCCAAGGTACGTTAGCTGTGATTTTATAATGCTAAAATGGTTGGATATTGACGAGAGGAAAACGGAAAGTTGAAAATAGATACCGACGATTTATGTCTACTGTTTACAATCGTATCATTGAACTTAAAACTAGAAGTTATTCTGGAGCCTTTAGAATACTTTTTATTTACAATCCAAATCTTTATTGAACTTGACGGAATTCTCTCGTTTTTAATTCCCATTATGAATATTTATATTTTTATCACATTTTACATTCTGCCCTTCTTTATTCAAATTCTAAATGCTTTTATATGTATTAGCGATAGGAATGTATCGTTCTATTGCCACCTCAGGAATACCCTCTGTTAAAATCACGAATGTTCTCGATCTACATTCACATCCTTTCTAATCTAGTTGTCTGATAAAGTTTTCAATAACTGGCTTTTTCATTCATGTTGTGAATGCACTTCTAATGTGTTCAACTTCTAGATACTACGGATATTATGAATACTCTCATTCTATTTCCAACTTCTAGTTACTCATGCTTGTTATGCATATTATAAATACTCTACTTTGTATTTTCAACTTCTAGTTACTCATGTTTGCTATGCCTATTATGAATGCTCTCATTCTATTTCCAACTTCTAGTTACTCATGCTTGTTATGCATATTATAAATACTCTACTTTGTATTTCCAACTTCTAGTTACTCATGTTTGCTATGCATATTATGAATACTCTACTTTTTATTTTCAACTTCTAGTTACTCATGCTTGTTATGCATATTATAAATACTCTACTTTGTATTTTCAACTTCTAGTTACTCATGCTTGTTATGCATATTATAAATACTCTACTTTGTATTTTCAACTTCTAGTTACTCATGCTTGTTATGCATATTATAAATACTCTACTTTGTATTTCCAACTTCTAGTTACTCATGCTTGTTATGCATATTATAAATACTCTACTTTGTATTTCCAACTTCTAGTTACTCATGCTTGTTATGCAAATTATAAATACTCTCATTCTATTTTCAACTTTTTGTTACTCATGTTTGCTTTGTATATTATAAATAATCTACTTTCTATTTTCAACTTCTAACTAATCATGTGTGCTATGCATATTATAGATGCTCTACTTTTTATTTTCGACTTCATGTTACTCATGTTTGCTATGTATATTATAAATGATCTACTTTCTATTTTCAACTTCTAACTAATCATGTGTGCTATGCATATTATAGATGCTCTACTTTTTATTTTCGACTTCATGTTACTCATGTTTGCTATGCATATTATAAACATTCTCACTGCTTATTGAACTTTAGTGGACCGGTGGTTAGCGTGCCCGACTGTAGATTCTCGAGCCTGTAATTCGCGTCCCGTGACCAGAAAAAAAAGGGCAACTGCGCATGTGTACGTTGGGTTCGGTTCCTCGCGGGGGGCACAGCAGATAGCCCAATGTGGCTTTGCTCTGAAACAAACAAACAGGCAGTTACAGATAGCCTTTGGGTAGCTTTGCGCAAAAGGCAAACACAAACTTAGCTTCTAATTACTCTGTTTCTCTATTCAAATTATAAGTATCCTCATTATCTATTTGACTTCTAAGTTGTTTTGTTCAATTCTTACATTATAAATACTCTCACTGTTTAACTTCTAGATACTCTTGTTCTCTATTCACATTATGAATAATATCATCATATAACTTCTAGATACTCTTGTTCTCTATTCACATTATAAATAATCTCATTGTTTAACTTTTAGATACTCTTGTTCTCTATTCACATGATGAGTAATCTCATTGTTTAACTTCTAGATACTCTTGTTCTCTATTCACATTATGAATAATATCATTGTTTAACTTCTAGATACTCTTGTTCTCTATTCATATTATGAATAATATCATCATATAACTTCTAGATACTCTTGTTCTCTATTCACTTTATGAATAATCTCATTGTTTAACTTCTAGATACTCTTGTTCTCTATTCACTTTATGAATAATCTCATTGTTTAACTTCTAGATACTATTGTTCTCTATTCACATTATGAATAATATCATCATATAACTTCTAAATACTCTTGTTCTCTATTCACTATAATCATTAAGATAACTTGCCTGGAGAAAAACACTTGTCATTGTTTTATATGTCTAACGAAATACTTTATAAACAAAGCATGCAGCTGTCTATAGTCAGTACTACCGTGGACCGCAGAGAGAATTTAAGTTATGCTTTTTGTATGAAAATATGATCAGTGTTAATAATCACCCATTAATCCAAAATAACTATAATATAATCAATCATTTTAAACTGTTATTTAAACTGCAATTGTAGAACGAGTACATGAACAAAAACTGGACACACAACAAGAATGTGCACAATATGAATTGAGAACAAGAGCATCTAGAAGTTAAACAATGAGATTATTCATAATGCGAATAGAGAACAAGAGTATCTAGAAGTTAAACAATGAGATTATTTATAATGCGAATAGAGAACAAGAGTATCTAGAAGTTAAACAATGATAGTATTTATAATGCCTTATCACCGCATCATCCGCACAATAGCAGATTTTTGTCTGCTTTATTTTCTGGTTGCTTACCTTCTGATACCAGCCATCATAACTAACTATCTTCTGGCTCTGAGCCAGATTTCATATCATATTAATGGTGCTAGTTTTGGTTTTTGTTACCTTAAGATGCTAATCAGCATTACTCTTGACGGCACATATTTTACCTTGTTGCTGTTAAAGCACAAAACTTCACAAACGCTATCTGTGCTCTGTTCATCGCTGGTATCGAAACCCGGTTTTTGGCACTACAAGCCTTCAGTCTTACCGCTGAATGATTTAACATAAATATTGTAGGTGATCCATTTCCTTCACTTGATCTGTTTGCTTAACTGATGATTGATAAGAACATTCTGAACATATTTAATCCTTTATTAGTCCACGCCATCCATCTGTATTACGTATATTTTTCTGATAATAAAATTACAGCGTAGTCTACCATAATTATTTATATAGTATAGTTTTAGCTGATGGTTAACACAGAGGTTGGACAAAATAATGGAATTCTCTATTTTTTTATTCGAAATTTTAATATCTCTGAGAAGGGAAATGTACCCATATGCTAACTTACCTGCAAATTAAATTATCTTACATCATTGAATTTGTCTGTATACGAGCAATATGTTGTAGATTTTTCTTTCAGAGAAAGGTTCTTAAAATGACAAGCTAGAAAGGTCTGTTAAATATCCAAAGAGACAAGATTGTAGGTGAAGTATAGTTGGGTTCTCAGTGACACGAACGTCTGAATAATGAATATATCCAGAGAAACATTGTTGAAAGTGATGTCAGTGACATCGAAACATATTCAAAGAGACAAGATTATAGGTGAAGTATAGTTAGATTCTCAGTGACACGAACGTCTTAATAATGAATGTATCCAGAGAAACATTGTTGAAGTGATGTTAGTGACATCGAAACATATTCAATGAGACACGATTGTTGGTAAAGTATAGTTGGATACTCAGTGACACTAACGTCTTAATAATGAATGTATCCAGACAAACATTGTTGAAAGTGATGTCAGTGACATCG